TCCATTCATGAAATGCACAAGTTACCATGATATTGATGTGTGATATCATTGAGAGATTTTGAACTTGCAAGCCCTTGAATGGTAATTTATATACAAATCATTGAAAAAAAAAATCAATAAATATACCCAGAATAACAGGATCCAAAAGCTTACAAGATGTCAAAATGAATCGTATATTTTTGACCAAGGTGTCATTTTCAAAATTATATTTCAATTGATTAGAGGAAAAGGTTTTTCAAGGCAAAACTCAGGTAACTTGCAAAACAGTTTTAACAATCCAGCCACAGAGTTTTAAGTTCTCTTATGATATATGATGAATATCACACTTGATCATGGGCATGCTATTAATCAAAAGGGATGGAGAAGATGGTTAGAATAGCATAGGCTTGAAAGCTCAGATGGGCTCAGGGTTTAATTCCAGATTCTATCTTTATTGCATTCACGCCTCACATATCCCACCCAGTTTTTCTTCTCTCAGTAGCAGAGAGCATACAGTGGCAAATCTTGAAAAGGCTATCTTTTCAGGTTGTCACAATTTTTCAAATTGTGCTATTGTCCTGTTTTGGTTCTGGAATTAATAAATCTGATTAAATTTTTGATTTACTGGATTACCTTGCATATTTTTAAATGTTTATTGTGAATTGCAATCCTATTTTCATTACTTAGTTTTGTTCTTGGGATTGAACCTCATTTCAAGTTAAAGATTTTCTATTCTTTTGGATTATTAACTTGTAATCAAGCAAGCATCCACTTCAATGTATTTATTTACCAAGCAAATAAATGAAATTAAGGGAAATATGTATGGATTTTGCTCATATTGGGTGGTCAGTGAATTCAAGACTCCCAGGATTTATCTAAATGAATAATATTTCATCTGTTCTTCAGATTTTTTTATCAAATTGAATCCCCTCTACCCAGATTTCAGGCATATTTTACGACTCAAATAGAAAAAGTTCTTTTAGAGATAGTTGCCTTGTTGAAAATTGAGTTCAACCAATACCTAAAGGCTTCACTGCCAAAAAACTTTCAAATTCAAGGATCCAGTGCTTTAATAAATGATGAATAATGATCATTATTTTTTGACAAATCCAACCATAAGCATCTTTTAATTCTATTCCAGTCATTTAAATAGCTCAAATTGATTTCCACTATGTATCACTGTTTCCTCAAATGAGAAAAATGAAATAAAATACTGTACAGCCTTTGATGCAAAAAAACAAGCAAACATAAGCAAATTTATAAACAGATAAAAGTAGTTGAGCTGACTTAGAGTATGGTAAGAAGAACGTTCAAAATGATTCCACTCTTTTATATTTCTTTCTCTGATTTGTACCATTTCCATAACTGTAGAAATGCAATTTAAAATGAATAACTGTACTCTGTCGAAAAGAAAAAGAGCAAAAAAACATGTCTTAGATTTGAGCTTGTGATTTGTTTGAGAGATGGGCATGGTGATACATGTAGGTCAAAAAAAATGATGCAACACACATTTCATGATTTTTTATCAAGCAATCAGCCATTCACAATTGAAATTTGAATGATCTCTTGGTTTTATGTAGATTTTGGAAGGAGATCCCAGCCTGATTACCAGTCAGATCTGGTGTGATTGACTGGTATTGCAGATGGAAGCATATAAAGGATAACAGTTCAATGAATGAAATGAAAAATTATTCTTGAATTCTTCAGGGCAAGATTATTCATGTGAATTCAAGCAATTGCACATAAAGTTTGATTTCTAGGATAAAAAACTTATTCTGATTTTACTCTTCAGGCAAATAAATATGGTATGGTTTTTCTTCTTACTTACTTATCATCCTTGTGGTTCATTTTTTTGCCATATTCATGAAAAATTCCCCAGGAAATCATTAATTTCCTTTAATTTTACTTTTTGATCTTGAATTTGGCAGATATTGGTTTGTCAGAGTTTGAGCTATGAGAAAAAAGATACAAAAGATGTAATACTTCTTTCAGTTTTGTCATCAATCCAAATCAAGGGGCACAAACACCATAAGCCAATTTTGGTTTGAATTATGGATTTGTAATTTTTGCCAGGCATTGGAGGATATGATCAATGAACAAGGTGGGAAACAATTTCATATTTTATCATTTCTCTGGTAAATCTCCTGGGGGGAACAATGAGCCTTCTGAATCTTTAGTTTTGAATATTTTGTGTCCAAGAAACAAGCTAGTGAATTGAAATAGCACATGCATTCATAAGGGGAGCTGTAAAGCAAATCAAGCATTCTTTAATTATCAGGTTCCATCATCCTGAATTGAAATGTGATTACTGTATCAATTACAACTATGGTGTTTTCAATTCTGGATTAGAGCCCTCAAATGGGTGGAGTGGGAATTTTTATTGTTCAATTATTGTTCAAAATCTGTGTTTGAATTGGGGAGCCAATTATGTAGTGTTCTTGAGGAGCAGTGATTTGGTCAGTCAGATTATTGTAAAATAAAAAATGGAACACTACTAGTACATAAAAGAAGTTTTTTTTTTTTTTTTTTTTTTTTTTTGATGAAGAGGTACAACTGGTTTGTTTGAATTCAAAATTGAGACTTTAAATTGGGTGAAGTGTGATTACAGTGAGAATCTGGGCCAATTGGGTAGATCTTATGAGATCACTGGAAGGTGGGGGATATCTTGGATTTGAGGCAATTGATTGAGATAATCATTTGATTTATGTATCATTTTTCTTGGTTGGGACTGGATAAGACACTCTGAATGTGTGATGATAGTTTGATTTTATGGGATCAATACAGTTATTCTGTTTTTGGTATATATGCGTTCTGTGAAAAGTCATTTTAATGATTTTAGCATCAAGAATAGTAACATAGGAAAATTGTACTAGATTTATTGGCATATGCTTGCCTATTGGCATGTGTGTTTGATGCAACTTAAAGCCCTGAAGTACTTGGATAAGGTTATCCCCCATGACACAAGAGGTTTTAAAGAAACATGAAATGATATTCATTGTAAATGGATGAGCCCAACTGAGATGCATTTGAAAAAATCATATAAATACAACATTAAGGCACTCTTCAAAGAGAACTATGCTTCATACAAACTTCTAAAAATAACAAAAAATAGAAAACTGGAGTATATTTGGTTTTGCATTCCACAACATATGAATGGCTCTGATATTTGAATTTTAAATAAATGAGAAATTTCACTTCTTCATGATATTTTAGTGTTATTCAACAAAATGAAATTTTTAATACCTAGACCTCATGGTGGGGGATAGGATACAAAAATGAAATCTCTGGAAGTTTTATTTTTGGATTTGAAGTCACCTTTAGAACTTTTGTTGGAATTCTAGGGGCAAATGGCGCATCAAGATTTTGGTAAATAAATATCCCCCTAGGATAAGTATTATAGAACCTAATTTTTACTCAAATTCTGCAGCCTGAGGGTAGAATCATAAAATGTAAAAATTGACTCATCCTTTGAAATTATTTTAAATCTGAAAACACTCATAAATCTTTATTGATAAAATGAAATTACTTGAAAAAAACATGTAGTTTTCAAACAATACTCATATATGTTCCTTCATAAATTGGATCACAGGCTGAACTATGTAGCTCTGTGGGTAGGATGAATACTTCAATAATGATGGAATGTCAAGTAGATATTTTCTGGATTTTTCATGAATCATATACATTCCCTCAAAGCTAGAATAATTCAGGAATGATTCAATGCTCACAAAATTACTCTAATTCACTCCTGGAAAATAGAAAAAATACCTATATGTACTTCTGGAACATTAATCTAATCATGAATTATGTATACATGTAAACTGATGACACTTCTATGTACTTACAATTAACTTTGCTTCCGATCCTATCACACATAAACCTCTCAATAAATTTTATCATGATGATTCTCTCAAACACATTTTGCACCTTGAAAAACCACATTCTATTTTAATAAGCTTGTAATTTAGTTTTCCATTTGAGTAATTGGCACAGGATATTTTAGAGAAAAACTTGATAGTCCGAACACTTTGTGTAAACCTTGGAGGTGTTATTTTCACAACAAAAAGAGTTTTTGTCATGCTGATTCAATTTTTATGTATATATATCACTACAGATTACATTGGATGATACTTTAGACTTTAATATACTTGAATTTCTTTCACTGATATGAGGTACCTCATTTACTAATTACTAAATTTGTTATCTTAAATGAAAGTCTTTACTTTTCAACTTTTCAGATTTATGATTGTATCTGCTGATAGGCTGGAATTACAGTAAATCTGCAATTGATTACTGAAGTTATTTGATATTGGGAATTATTTTGCATTTACCACCCCTATATGCATTTCCATATTTTCTCCCCACTAAATCTTGGATACTCAATGCACTGTATCCTTCATTACTTGATTTGTGTTTTGATTTGTATATATTAGGGTTCACGTGTTGATTTAACTTAAAAATCTCACCCACCATACAATTAGCAAGCAAATAATTCAAATTGGATAATTTTTCCACATAGTCCTGCTTACTGTTTTCTTTTCAATTTGTGTGGGTATTCCACTGAATGATTTTTCAATATTTGAATGGACATTGTGGTAAATTATTGTGATTTGTTTGAATAATTGTTTACTTATCATTAATTTTGTACCAATCATTATTCTTGACTGAGAAACACTGCTTGATGAAAAACATGAAATACAATTCTTTATACCATTTTCACTTTAGCCTGATAGCAACTTATTACGGGTGCCCATGTTTGTCATGCAAGTTTTTTGAAATGGACTCCACCCAAACTTTGTGCAGTATTTTTGCAGTAATGGAATTCCAATGATGCATGGATGAGAAGTAGAGAAAATGTTGTTTAAATAACTATGAAACAAAATTTTCCAATGCATTCAGTTGGAACTTGCTAACTATTTGTGGTGGAAAGAAAATTTTATACTTGAAATAATGGCAAATAGCTTAAACAGAAGAGGAGTGAAGGTATTACAAGTGAAAACTATGGTTAAAATAACTACAAGCTATATTTTTGTTTTTTGCATAAAGTACGATCTTCTACTTCTTCTTGTGTAGCATTTTTTAATTTTACTGCAGTATTGGCTAACCTTTTGCTGATTTGAAAGGAAGAACCAAAATGTGTGTGAAATTCAGTTGTTTGAAGAGAAGGGGGGGGGAGGTGTAGTGTGATGTTCAAACTGTGTAGTTTGCCACAATACTTCTACAATGCCATTGGCATGGGCAAAGTCAATGATAGCAGCATGGCGTGTAAAATGCAAACCATGCCCCTTCTCATTGGAAGGAGGAGGAATAGGCTTTCCTGTTTTTTTGTCAATGTAAGAGAAAATTCCATAGGTCCAAGGGTTGAGGTCACCTCTATCGGCATGGACTTCGTTGAAAAAATCATTGAATGTGACCATCACATTCCCGGCAAAGTTATGCTCATTCGTAAATCCACGCCATTCCTCTTGACTCCAATTGGGAATTTGATGTTCCAAAGAGATTTGGTGGTTTTTTTGCCAAGCGGATTGGGATAGAGATTTGATACGTCCAGCTATGAATTCGTTGTGGAACTCCAGCTTTTTCCAGAGTGCACTGTCTGAAATTGAGTCTTCCTCCTTGATGCCGTGTTTCCTTGCGTAAGTTCCTGCAGAGAGAAGAGATTTTAGAAAAAAAGGAGATATGGGATCAATAAAACATAGTGAGTTGACCGCCTGATTTATTATCATCTGTGCCTTGACGAAAGCCAATTCCCCGCATACGTCCATTGAGTAGGTTTGAATTGGATTTGTTATCTTGACGATTCAGAGCCATCATGTAGAGGTCAGAGACGATTTCCGAGAGGGTAACGAAGGTTGGTGAAGGTGCTTCGGCAAAGGAGTGAGTCTCCATGATGAAGTTTGGAACTCCACCTTGGCTGCAAACAAGATTTCTAGTTTTCTTACCGTGAATTGGAAAGGTGGTAAGTGGTTTTTCGGAGAGAACATCTTCCGAAGGTGAGATGTAAGTGATGTGAGGAATGGTCGCTGAATCCTTTGCAAGCTTCCTTTGTGTTTTTGCAACCCGTTTTTCGGTTTTGGACTTGTACTTCGGAGGTGACTGATAACGCTTCTTGGTTGCAGCAGAGGACAATCCAGTAATGTCTCCCTTATAAGTCTCTCTGACCTGAGGAACCGTGCATTCCCCAGGGGGATGAGACCTACCCAGTTGACATACTGGATTGCTCATACAAGCCGGACTTTTTTTCCTTGAACCCTGTGAGACCTGAGGAACCGTGCATTCCTCAGGGGCCACATTATTCTTAGAAGAAGTTCCAAGCTTCTCTGGCATCGGAGTTGCTTCTTTGAACCAAAGATGAGGAGGGACAGCCAAGCCTGAATAACAAATGAATACAATTGATTAAATTAGTAATGTGACAAAGTAGAACAAGAAAGCGTCAGATGAGCAGGCTCATGTGCAGGCAGGTCAAATCGTCATTTGATCAAAGTCATCAAGCACCTTACTTATGATCAATAATCCAATGGATGAACAGATTTTGATCTGAAAGAGTGGCAACTTCAAAGGAAATCAAAAGGTCAGATAGAGACATGAGTATCAAATGAGAAGAGTAGCATCCAACTTACGTGCACAGAGAATAATTGTCTCCTCAAGCTGATTGATCCTTGAATTGAACTTGTGCCGAACTGGTTCACCTAGAAAGGTTGTCAGTAAAGGAGCCTGGAAAAAAGTAGAGAAGAAAAAACAGCTTTTTTGAATGAAAATTTGCATCGGAGAGGTGAACATACCTCAAGATTAATTCTGG